AATTGTCAGGCAATGAAGTGTGCAGGGATTCTTTTTCTTAGGATCCCCGACGTTGTAAGGCCCTATCAGGTCAATACATATTCTTTCCCAAGGTATCTCCTTGCAAGTCTTTTGAGGCATCAACCCCAGCTTACGCGTCTTGGGTTTGTTGAGCTGGCAGCTTTGGCAAAGATGACATACGGCATGCACAGTCTTGTGCAGTCCTTTCAAGGTGTAGTGTTGGCTGATGGTTGGTTCTGTGCGAGTCTCGCCAGAATGCATCAGCACACCATGGTAACATTCGACTTAAGCCCTTCTTCTGCATAGTTTAGGTACGAAATTTTATCGGTCTTAACTACTAAGTCGTAAGACCTATCCCCTCTGGGGAAGATTGCTTCTTGTAGTCGATTGGCTTGTCCCTGAGGAGGCTCTTGATATCGTTGTCGTCTTTCTGACGATGTTCGATGTCGGGGAACGAGAGAGGGAACTCGCTATGGAAGTCCTCTTCGTCTGCAGCAATGAGTTCAGCGATCTGGATGGCGTCCATGTGTTCTGAAGAACCATCATTATTGGAGATGTTAAGTCTCAACGACGCATCAGCGACGATGTTCTGTTCGGCACCCTTGATGTCCAGTAGTTCATGGCCGTATTCTTCCAGAAATAAGGCGCCATCGCATTACGCGATCGGTATTGAAGTTCTTACATGTAAGATTCTTGTGGTCCGTAATTACAACGATCTTTGGTCCTAGAAGAATGTTAACGGAACTCTTTAGAGTTTCTACGATACTGAGAAAGTTCCTTCTCGGAAACTGTGTAACGTGTCTGAGCAGGGTTGAGCTTCCTACTGTAGAAAGCGATAGGTTTTCACTTCTGGGAAATTACTACACCTAGTTGAGTATCAACTCGCATCCGTTTGTATAACGAATGTATCGTTGAAGTCAGGGTAGGCGAGCAAGGGTTTCTTTGCTGATGATCTTCCTCATCCTGGCAAAAGGCCTTGTCGTGTTCCGGTTCCCAATTTGCACTTCTGTTGTTTTGGAAGTCAACGAACCGAGTGGGGCCATTACATTTGATCGTCTAAATCCATATGTCTTGTTAGTAGTTCACTAGTCACATGAATCTACGGAGTTCTTTTCTGTTGGTAGGAGGAGCGATATTGTGGATCGCGTCTATATTTGCTTGGTTATGGGTTGGATCCCTTCTCGAGTAATCCAGTAACCTAGGTATTCAAGTTCTCCTCTTTGCGAAGAAGGACTTGGTAGCATTGATCTTAAGTCAGGCTTCTCAAAGCCTTCGGAGAACTTCATCAAACTTTTCAAAAGCGTGATCTCCCAGATCGCCGTTAGTTAGGATGAGTAAGTCATTCAATGTATGCACGGAAGTATTCTAGGTCGTGCATTATGGTTCCCATCTTCTCTTGGAAGATGTCGGGACTATTTACATAGGCCCATTGGCAAACACTGGTACTCGTAACTTTCCCCAAGCGGGGAAGTACGATGGTACAGAGTGCTTCGAGTGAGGTGACAGCTCCATGTGATAGTAGAATCCCATGTTCAGGTCTAGACTAGTAGCGTACTTGAATCCATCTAGATCCAAGAGGCATGCCTGTTTTTTGGGGATAGGATAAGGCTTTCCGATTAATCCTTGCTGTCAGTTTCCCTGGAAATCAAGATGAATCGTCAGATCCATCTTTCTTGGAAAGATAAAGTTGGTGCCGCACACTCGGAACGGTTCACCTTCTTGAGTACTCCTGCCTCGCAGAGACCGTTCAACCTCCATCTTAAGAATGTTGGTATGGACCCGTGGAATAGGATAAGACCTTGGCATGATAGGGTTTAGCATCAGGAGAAATTCTACTTCGTAGTCGTCCATCTGCCACTTTCCAAAAGTACATCGAATAGGTCATTATTCGTCAGTAAGGAGTAAGCTGTTCCTTCTCTTCGTGTTTAACTGATCTTGACTTTGCAGACCTGCCTTAAGTCGCTTGTTCGTATTTCACATCAAGAATCTTCTTGAACGATCTGCACTGTCATCAACAGCAGTAGGATCAGGAGGAGAAGTTCTTCTCTTCATTGGTGTCGCTACTTTCATAGAATAGATGCGCCGTCCCATTCCGCTGACATGGTAGTGAAATCGAACTTGATTCCTAAGTCGAGAGAATGTCTCGACCTATGATCATGTCATACGCCCCAAGCTCTTGGTGACGTGCAAATCCACTCGATATTCATCTTTCGTGGAATTCAGGAATCATGAATGCACCTTTGCACTTCGTGCTGGTGTTTAATTCTCCTGCAGGGGTAGTCCACATCGTTTGGACGCCCCCAAGATCCTTCATGCGTAATTTCTTAGCATGAGGTTGAGAATCAGGGTTCGGATGCTCCTGTATCCAGTAAGAAACGGAGTGTAACGGGTTTTGGTTTTCCTTTTTCTCGCTTGTTAAACTAACATAAACGATTGGTTTGAGGTCTCTTGTCTTGCACGTTTACGAGGTGGTTGGCCCACGGACGAGGTTAACAATGTAAATAGATCATCAGAGTCTAGTTGAGCAGTTTCTAGCAATATCTAATTTGCGTAGAGTTCATCAGTTGCAAACAATTCTTGTTTACTAGTTAGTGAGATATTCATCACTTAGGTATGAAAATCGAACATGGTTCGGTTGATCATCATCTGGCTAATCCTCAGATAGAGATTTCTCATCCAAGTGATTGAAATGATAGAGGAGTTGTCCTCATTGTCAAGTCTCTCTGATTTGCGCTTGGCAACATGGTTGCGAAGTTTGCAAAGTGGTTGGCACGAGTATCGTCGATCTTGTTTTCTTCGTCATTGTCGACGAGAGAAGAATGGGTTGTCAACGCAACTGTTTCTCGAAGTTGCGGAACCATGCTTTCCTTGAGCCATCTTCATGGTGAAGGAATAGGTTGAGGTGACTGAAAGCTATTGTGTTTGTTAACAAAATGCACTACGCTAAAAGCTAGTGTAAAGATCTTTCGAGTGTTTTGAGTTGAAGAGAATGAAAGTTATGAGAGGGATTAGAAAGCTATGAAACTAATCAACGGAGAGAGATCATCATCAGGGGATCGTAGATCTGGCTTCCCGCGGGGGACTATAAAGTGTGATAGAGTAGGTTTGGGTAGTAATTCCTACGTCTCTCCACGATCCTAAAACGGAAACGCGTGGAAGGTTTGTCTAGCCTGGATCTAGTAGCGTGGAAGTACTCCACGCTGGCTAAATATCTAGAGCGATGTTCATCATCAACCTAGTAAACAGCGCGGTCATTGAACCCTGTCTCAAATGACTATTCACGAGAGACTCAGTCATGAGTCGAACTCAAACCCTATCTAGGATCGAGTCGCGAATAAGGCTAAGAGCCGTGTATTGCAGTCGTACCCATAGAGGTGCTTCCCATGGGCTTCAATAGAGGTGCTTCACGACTGTGGAGGTGCTGGTATGGTGAGTACTAGAGGCTACGTATACTGTACAGAGGTGTTGATAGAGGTTCTTCGATAACGGTAGAGGTGCTTCGATACCAGTAGAGGTGCTTTGGATTCGTACCTCTACAGCCAGTCGTATCATACAGTACTGTGAGGTGCTTTCCATGCGCCGCTTCAATAGAGGTGCTTTGGGGCCGTGGAGGTGCCGAAGAAAAGGAGTTGCCGTGTAGTAGCCTCAGTACTAGAGGCTACCTGTGACGTCACGTAGGATGCTACGTAGACTCAGTACCAGAGGCTACGTGTGACATCATTCGGTCTTAATATGTGGTTAAAAGAATTGCCCTGTAAGAAGGTCAATATCTTCAACCGCCCGTAACTCCACCAATAAGTACACTATGAAGTTACGAAATTTATGGCATACTCAGCTTCATGTGCTCTACGGATTCAGCTACTTAGAAGTACAATATTCCATATCCAGCTCTGAAGAGAATATTGCGCGAAACGGTCGGTCGTAAAGCCCAGATCACTCTAGTTGAACTATTTCATGAAATATTAATTGAACCAGCAACCCTGGGTTATAGGTTACGTAAATTTTAATGGTTAAAAGACTCAACCAGATAGCCGTAACCGTAGGTTGACCACCGTTGGTTCGCACACCCTGAATGGAATATTGCTTGAGAAGCGTGCATGTACTCTAACTCCAAGTACTGAGTATGCATACTCTATCTGAGTACCGGACAACGAAGCGAACAAAGTGGACTCGGAGCTTTCTTCAATGTTTCCTCAAAGCTTGTCCATTCAACAAGCACTCTAGTACAACGCTTCTGTACAAATCCTGCTTTGTCGCAATAACTTCTGAGCCCTATTCTGTGACTGTTGATAGGCTCGAACGCGTCTGAGTGACATTTTAAGGTTCACCTCTTGCGACAACTTAGGATTCCAACAATAAGGACACTTTAAAAAGCCTGACTTACCTCAACTATAGTCTTTACTTGGATCTCAGGTAAGGCTTACGGTAATGGCCTAGGTCGCTGCTCTGGAGCTGCTCAGGAAGGAACCAGCTGTCTTTGTGGGCTGACCGGCTACGATGTACGAGTAGCTACCAGTAGTGGTCAAAGTGCTGCGGCAGTAGACTGTACTGCACCGGTACAGTCCCACACGTTTCACATACATGATCATGAATATTCCTTCGCTGGTTGAGCTTGTGGCTTTTTAAACTCTTGCAGTCACTTTTCAGTATCGTTGTTGTTGCCGATAGCCATACTAATAATAGCTAGCACTAGATCTACAACCAACAAAAGAAGAAAGAAGAAGAATAGATCCACCATGGTGATTGTGGAGCGCAGCAGCAACAATGAGGAGACTCCTACTACTACAACAGCCACAGCCACATCAACGGCGACGGCATCGAATCCCGCCGCTTCCGTGTCTTCTGGCGTGGACGACGGGACTGCGCAGTTGATTGCAGACTTGTTGGATCAAGCGGAAGCGAAGCAACACGTTAGTCCAAGTCCAACAACAACTACTAGCGCTACTACTAGTACTACTAGTACTACTACTTCTAACAACGCTGATGTGGACAAACTGGCCATGGCGGCGGCAGCGGAGAGACTTCATCCCGCCAGCAACATGGACTCCGAGAAGAAACTTGCCATGAGTGGTGCCGAAGCCAGTGTCCTTAAATCCGGACGTGTCGCATCGGTTTCGGGAGTTGGAGCCATTCCCGTCAAGAATAATGAAGCGGGACCCATGGCGTCTCCCGCGGTCCTTTCGCCCCCACCCAAGACGGACGATTCACTCTTACTACTAGCCAAGCAGCAGCAACAGCAACAGCAAGAGCAACTCCATCCGCCTCGATTCAAGACTCGGCCGCCTTTACGTCTTCCTTACAACCTCTCCCACTCGAGCCGGATGCGGCTGTTCAGCGTCAGAATGCCAATCCCGGTGCCGTCGCCATTGCCGGCATGGATGCCATGGTCAGTGATGCCGAAGCCAGCATTGCCTTTGGATACGCACCCGGCGATTTAGACCATGAGCGAGCAGAACAAGGAGAACAACCGCCTATATTTGATACGGTAGAGTCGGGAGAAGTCATGGCGCAGGCCATTACTAGAGACGATCTAGAAGAAGAAGTACAACGACGGATCATTGCGGAAGCTGCCGTGGGAGAAGTCGTTTCTCCCGAAGAAATGAGGAATAATAAGCACAAAGAAAAGACTCCACAGCAAGTATTCAAGGAACGAGCTACCATCTGTTTGATTGTCACCATTGCCACTGTCGTTTTCGTTTCCGTCATGGTCGCTTTCGTAGGGTACCGAGACAAGCAAGAAGAACCCCAAGATCCCGTCAATCAAGCTCAACTCAAGTCATTCCTCGAACAAGAAACTGTCAAGTTGTACGATGATAATGCCACGGATGTGCAACGCTTGGAATTGTCCATTGACGATTCACCACAAGACAAGGCATTCCAGTGGCTTACGACATCGTTGGAAGCGTTTCCCGTAAACACTTCACAAGAAGAACAGCAAATTCTAGAAACGTATGCCTTGGTCACCTTGTTCCATGCCACGGGTGGAAACAACACGTGGGATATTACCAATCCCGATCTGGGACTAAACTCATGGATGGTGGGCACCGATGCCTGTCTCTGGTTGCCAGAGCCAAAAGAGGATTGCAATGACAATGGATTCGTACAACGCTTGACATTGGCGGGAATCAACATGACCAAGAGTCTGCCACTTGAAATGCTCTTCTTGACGACATTACACCAACTCAACGTCGCACAGAACCGACTCTCGGGAAGTTTGCCAGCGGCCTTGCCACCGTCCCTGCAATCCTTACTGCTCGATGACAATGACTTCCAAGGAGAATTCCCCTCGGACATGGTCCAATTGACCAACTTGAGGGAGTTCACAATCACACAGAATGATCTCCTTACAGATGCTACTCTCCCACATGACATGCTCCCGGCATGGAGTAACTTGCAGATTCTACGGATCGATGACACTCCCATTCGGGGAACCATACCCACCACACTTGGAAACCTCACGGCCCTCCAAGAACTCTCTGCCAGTAGAGTCAGATTGTCTGGTACCATCCCGACAGAAATTGGACTCTTGCAGAATCTGGAAATCCTCTACATGCCACAAAGCAATGCACTCGATTCCAACTTGACAGGAAACTTGCCAGAGGAACTATGGACCATTACTACCTTGAAACAAATTGAAATGAACTACATTGGGCTATCATTCACCATTCCAGGAGAACACCTGCGGTCTCTGGGATCCTCCTTGCAGCACATCAACTTTGGAACCACCCGTCTCGCAGGGACTTTGCCAACCGAGTTGGGTTTGCTTACCAGCTTGGAAATTATGGAATTGGATAACAGTGCCATTCTCGGCGGAACTATTCCTTCCGAGATTGGATTGATGAAGTCACTACGTGTCGTGGACATGTCACGCGACCCCAACCTCCAAGGCTCTCTACCGACCGAAGTGGGCAATCTCGCCAATCTGGAATCGTTTTGGCTATTCTCATCCGTGTCGCTCACGGGAAGTTTGGTCCCATCCGAGTTGGGACGCTGCACCAAATTGCAATCCATCAACATGAAAGGGACTCAGCACTCGTCAGGGCCAATCCCAACCGAAGTAGGATTGCTCACCGATCTTGTGGATCTCGAACTGCTCCGAACCAACATGACCGGTCCACTCCCAAGTGAACTAGGGCTCCTCAAGAAGTTTGAGATTCTGACTCTGGGTGGAAAGGGCATTACAGGAACGTTGCCAACAGGTGAGTCGAGTCATGGTTGGTTTCTGGGCAACATCAGCGTCCTTTCATGCTAGGTAGTCTTGATTGGGTGGCCTCTCTATCTATCTATCTATGCAAAAGCTCGATCTCAATCTTTTCCCCTGCATTCTCGTTTCCATCCCATTCATTCAACAGAGCTTGGCCAGGCCAGTAGTTTCACAAAACTCCTCATCGCTGGTACAAATATTGCCGGTACCTTTCCGACAGAGTACGGAAATCTTGTCAACCTCGACAAGTTCGCAGTTGACAGGAACATGATCAGTGGGACTCTGCCTGTCACCTATGCGGCGTGGAACAAACTTGGTACGCATGGAGATGACTTATTGGTCGGTTGCTCGCACACAAGTCGCTGTCGACTGACTACCCCACTGACTGATCTTTCTTTTTCCCCTGTGGGTTCTCGGCATAGATTCGATCTCTGTCAATGACAACTTGCTCACTGGCACATTTCCCATGGTTTACAAAGATTGGTACAAAGTCTGTAAGTGGTATTCGTGTGCAGCAGGCAAAGATTTCAGTCAGGACACCATTAGCGGATCCATACATTCGATTCATTGTCTCTTTCCACAAAACTTACCATTCCAATTCTGCTCACATACACATACATACATAGCCCGATTGAATATCCAAGGCAATAACTTAACTGGCGATATTGGAAGATACACTTGTGGTGGCTGGGCTGAGGAGTACACGTTGCAGGCAGATTGCGAGGAGGTCGAATGCACTCATTGTTGTACTCATTGTTGCGTGGGTAGCGTGTGTACAGCTCTCAGTAAGTTTGCCCTGCTTTTATGGATGGAAGCCTTTTGCATGATTGTGTGATGGCTCACCTTTTCTTTTCCGTGTCGGTCGACTCGTCGCTCTCACTCGCGTTGATCAGATCCTGAGGAGAATCAGGAGTCAACTCCTGGAGCTGGACGCCCCACGGGGCCACAATTTTTCCCACCCATTCGCGGTTAATTAAAATATCCTTCGCATAGGTGCACTTCGTTTTTGGATGCACTCCATTGTTGGATCTCGCGGAGCGACTTCTAGATCTTGCGTATATAGATTTATTAAATTTACATTTCCCACATTTTGAGCAGCAAAACGGTTGCCTGCTTGGGTTTTGCTGCCTTCCTCACATGATTCAACCACGCGAAGCCGAACTGCCCGGGACATTGGTCGTATTGTTGAAAGCTTTCTTCCTCACCGAGGATACTAAGGAGCTTCGCGTGTTTCAGAAAATGGACGTAGGGTCGATGCGTTGTGGTCGGCCCATCATTGGACGTTCCAGTGCAAGCAATCGTTTCGAATAGAGCAAATCTGTGATTGCCTTCTACTACATCTTGCACAGAGCAAGAACAGCAACGTTTTCATGGAAGAACGGGCTTTTGCAACATGCTTCTTGGATCTGGACAACGAGCCAGAAGATAGATCGAGCTTTGGACTCCCTCGAAAACTTTCCACTGGCGCGCCAGCTTCCTCAGAGTTTGAAAATGAGGGACGCATTCTTCAAATTCACCAGAAAGCGACTTCACATAGACTACTGGTAAATTCTTACCACTGCCACGACAACCCGACCATTTATTTTCGAATCCGTCATGTTTGCAACCACTAGTTGGGTTTTGGCGTTCTGTTTCTCCGACATCCGCCATAGAGGAAACAATTGAAAAAGTGTAGATGTATGTCTTGGACAAGGCCGAGACGGAAGGATGAAAGATCATGTTGGCGTCAGTGTTTGGTTTTGGAGCAATCCGGGCAACTCTCAGATCAGGCGGTAGCATTCGATTGAGAGCAAATGCCAATCGACTGAGGTCTCCCTTCATGGGTAATGGCAAATAAGGATCGATTGTACTATCTATAAGAGTAGTACGTGTATCGTTGTTGCAGTTGATTCCATAGAACATGGCAATGGCCCCTTTGGCATGAACTCCCTTGTCTGTTCTGGAAGATCCTTCTACGACGATTTGTGCCGGATCGACATTGCCATAGACTTTGGCGAGTTGTTGACGTCATACCCCTTGAACGGATCGTATTCTTCCCACGGGTGCCTGCAGCTTGCTTTTACGGCGTTTGCGTTTTCGGCCAGAAGTACTGGAAGACCCGGCCTCCTTAAGATTGGTATCTTTATCATTGGCAGCACTCCAACCATAAACACGAGATCCATTGTAGCACTGTGCGAACTTGGTGGATTCACAACATACGCGTCCTTACCAGAGATTGTACCAGTGCCAGTAGTGGTACCAGACAACGCAGAGCTAAAGATGTTCCGATAATCCAGGAGAGGAGCAACCAAAAGCCACAGAAAGAAAACCGAAGAAGAACGACAGCAGCGAAACATTCTCTTTCTCCCTATTCAGTCCTGGGCCTGGTCTGTCTGCGGCACTAGAATGAATCATCTACTATTAATAGCTAGCTACTACCATAGCTAGCTAGCTTTGGTGCCAAGAGATCGAGACAGTTTTTGTGGTTGTGCGGTCTTCCTACCTCGGGCCTACCTCGGGCACACGTTTCGTCCATACAGGTAGACTGTGAGATCTTCACACGATAAGTTCTTGAATCGATATCTTGTGGGCTACTCGAGAGCTACTTTCAGTGACCTACAACATCGGCTCATGTGGACTAGCCTGTGACTGTGCCTATGGTGCTAGAACTAGAAGGCACCCCAAGTTGGGCTTTGAAGCAGCATTACTAGTGTTATTGCTCTAAAGCTCACTTGGAGTGGATCAATTTGCATAGGCTTTTGATCCATAGAACCTCCAATCAATTTACAATAGGTTAGAGGGTGGGTAAGTGGGCTGCTTCTTCACAAGATCGATCGATCCAAGAAAAGAACAAAAGTGAGGAATCGGGGCTGCGGCGCCCTTTTCGCGCGAAGCTTCACTACGTCAACTTTCATCATCAAAGATCTTGTCTGTAATTTTAAAAAATAAGCCAGTTAGTTCAGCTTGCATTTCCTAGCGTTTCCACCGTTTCTTTTGCTTCCGACTCACTCGAGTCACTCCAAATTGGGAGCAGTCACGATTCGATTTTAGTCCCACAAAAACGACGCAGCGACGTCGCAGCGACGTCGCAGCGACGTCGCAGCGTCGTTTTTGCGGGACTCAATTTGAACCGACAAATTTGAAACGGTACTGGCAAATCTGAAATGACTTTTTTATGCAGAAAAATACCGTACAACCTTCCTACCCCCCATACCGTACGGTACAGGCCTGGTGATCGTGTTGCACTCGATGAAAGAGCCACGATCGTGGATTCTTGCAAGACGATTGCAAGTGGCGAGCATCGTGACTCCCTTTCGATTTGGATAGCCAATCAGTACCGGTATCACATCAAGCTTGCCCGTATCATCTTAAAGTACCCTACATGTATGCCGCGCGTAGCCACTTTTGCACTGTATAGCGTGATGTGCAGCTTTTCAGAGTTTCATTGACCGCCGTGAGCTATGATAGTCTAGAGCGAGGGCAACGCTCTTGCAACCACAAACCTATTGTCATACATGTAGTATTTTGCCTATTGTGCGTGGCGTGAGAGATCCAGGGTCTGATGCGTAGACAATCCTCTACGAAAAGATGATTCATCGGCTTACAACCATGTCATGGCAAATGTACATGTAGGGCACGCAGAGAGTTCAAATCTCGTCTGCAAATTTGTGAGGCGGAGAAACCTCTTTCAGGTGTACCATACCCGGACATAACCAAGAAAGTCACTCATCTGAGTTGCTATTACATGATTAGATGTAGCGGAGCACTCTAGCTAGCTCTAGAGGACAATTCAGGACACTGCTCGTTGATCCAAGATCCAAGCGACCTGAAATAGAAAGGGAGCAGTACTAGTGCGATCTGAACCTGATTTGGGAGAAGCATTAGGACTTCGGACAGGATGTATTCCGATTGTGCAGACCTATTTAGCCATCAAGTTGTCTACATAAATCATCGGAGTCAGAAGTAGACTACTGCCTGATGCGCTGTACGGTGCACTTGTGTTTAAAAGGTTCCGACAGGGGAGCACTGTACTTCTGTAGCCAATAATCACTAGTTGCCTCCAACGAATCTTGTGTTGTTAGAGGAATTATCGTTTCATTTAAATGCAAAATGTCTGCTTAAATCATATTGAGTCGTAAATGACTTGTCTGGGCAGAAACCGTGTGGAACGAAACGGCAGCGTGACAAAGCGTTTTTCCACGCTGCGTCTGCCTCATTTTTTGTCCCTAACTCACAACAGCACTCACTCTTTTGGATCATCTTTACTGAAACCCTTTGAATACTATCAACACTATCAAACGATGATCTCTACCATTCTACCCACCATGAGCATGAGCATGACTGCCGTCACCAGCAGTATGTTTTCCTTGGTGATTGCTGCCGTCGCTAACAGCTTTGTCGTCCTCGCCGTTCTTGTCATGTTCCTTTTCGTTCGTCGCGCCTCGCGTCGTTCTGAGTTGGACAATGACATGTTCATGTTTGCGGATGATGCCTCTGAAATCTTCGACCATGAAACCTCTTTCTACGCCTCCGTGAGCCAAGAGCCCGTCGCCATCAAGCCCGCGCGTACCGTTATCAAGCCTGTCATCTTCAAGAAGCACCTTTCCGTTCCTCCCATCTCCGAATGCGTCGTGGGGCGCAAGAGCAGCAACAAGACCGTCAACTCATTCGCAGCTTCTTGTGATGGTATCAAGACTCCCTCTGGGCAAGCCCACACCGTGGTCGTTTCCGGTGATGCCTGGCTTCGTCAAATGGAAGATGCCAAACTCAACAAGAAGAAGCTTTCCTACCAACCAGTGACTGACCTCCCCTTCAAGGTCGTCCAGAAACAAGAACCAGTTGTCGTTGATGCTACTGCTGATTTGGTTCCCAACGAAACCGAGGAACCAATTGTCACCACTTCCGCTCCCCAGCAAAAGAAGGAGGACGCCCCACAAGTCGCCGCTGTCATTCCTGAAAGCACCCAAGTGCCAGATGCTGTCATTCTTCTTCCACCTCCAGTCGACAACTCCCCAGTCGCTGGCGAGCCAATGGACACTTCTGCTGAGGATCTAGTCGATATTGTCGAGAAACAACCGCAATCCGAAGTAAGTCCCATGACTGGTACTCTTCCAACTACTGATGACGAAGTGATGCAAGCTGTTCCCGATTGTGTCAAGACGGTTAAACCACTCCCATGTGTGGCAGATGACATGATTGATACTCTTCCAATTACTGATGACGAAGTGATGCAATCTCCTCTCACAGCATCATTTGAAAAGCCAGAGCCCATGGCAGAGGAGGAAGATACCAATGTCAAGGCATTGCGGGAATTCTTTCACCAGTGGACCCTGCAGGAGGACGAAAAGATGGGGGTGCCGGACAGTGTGGACTTGCTGTGCATAGCTTTTGAGCAGCTGACAATCCACGGCAAGGAAGATTCGGTTGACGGCTTGACTTTGTGCCGTGGCAATGACAAAGTCAGGGACACAATCACGGAGGAAGACTTGAAGGATCTCTAGGTTGACAAAAACAATCCATTGATACTGTACCGCTTCCATCCTCCAAACAAAACAAAAAACAGAAAAACAGAAACAAAAAACAAAACTACCAAAAAAGTCCAAAAACTACCAAAAACTACCAAAAAAGACCAATACAAAACAATACCAAAACACAAAAAGTAACAAAAACATCCAAAAAACATCCAAAACAACAGAAAGATACAGAAATGTGTGGCTACAGTACCGGTACCTGTGCGAAGTCAGACCGTGTTGAAGGTCGCTGTCTGTAGAGTTTGCAATGCTTGCAATCATCCATACGGCACAAAATTTATTGGGGCAAGAATAATACCAAAGAAGAAGCAGAAAGGATCATTGGGTCATGCACCAAACCGAGAAAATACAGCGACGTATTGTGGTGATGTTGTGCTGTGTGGTGCCTTGCTTGCCTTGCCTTGCCTTGCCTTGCATGTCTTGTCTCATTGTCTTTTGCAATCCTTTCATTCAACTCTCGTTCGTTGGAACCCAGCCATTCAGCCAGCATGCATGCATGCATCCAAAGTAGATGGCAAGGTCCCGGGGCCAGCCGCCCTACCGTAGAGGTACGGTACGTCCAATCAAGTCCACTGTTGGAGAATAGTTCAGATATCGGTACCGTACCGTACAATTCCAGGTTGTACCCCACCTCTTGCGCTAAACCGTTTCCCGTTTCTGTTCTCTTGTATACTGGTACATCGTACTGTGTGCCTTCATTTATTTGGAGCGAGTTGAAAGGTGTGACACAGTAAATAGACGGCCCCCCTCCTCAATGGGGGACAATAGACAAAACACGAAAGTTGATTTTTGGCACTGGATAAAATGTACAGGTACCAGTAGCGTACAGAACGTCTTGGAAAGCCGAGATCTCGTTCCACCAAATACCGTCCTTGATACTTGATACCAAAGTAATTGTGTGCCTATTAATTAATAGTATCATTATTAGAGTAGACACTACATGCATATTCCTCGTGCGATACCGGTACTGTACCGCTCCGTTCCACCCATTCCATATGCCATCTGCTGGTCGAGTGGAAACATGATCCACGGAGTGCTCGTAAAGCTACCCTAGCGGTACGACCACCTTGGATACCGATACAACAGCCACGTGGAAACATGGAAACATGGCAACATCGTACGGTAACAAGATCAAAGACGAGACAATTGGACCGCGTCAACCACCATGGTGCCTTGCTACTATTATAGTATTACATGGTTGTCATACTTGACCAAGAAGTCATTACTGAGAGTACCGAGTACCGAGTACAACAAAGGAACCACCGACCTACATGCCTGCATGTACCTGTCACGCCTTATCTAGCCTTATCTACTGTACCGGTACCGTATGCCGTTAAACGTGTGGTAATCGTTGCCTCTTTATTCATATATGTAGAAGAAGTTGGTATTGGGTTGTAATAAGTGCGGGGTCTAGTACCGGTAGGCAACGCATGATCTGGTCGGCACTACTGCTGGGCTTTCATCAAGTCGCTCTTTGACTGTTTGTTGAATGTTTGGTTGAATTTGTGAGACGAAATCTAGAAAGGGATCCCGCCAGACGTGAGATTGTTCGGTGGCCTTCCTCAGTGTTCTTCCAAATAGAAACCCCAACCCTCACTCCAATTGTGAAATTTTCATTTCGTCAATCCGTACTACTAGTAGCTAGTAGTGGAGTCACAAAAAAGTCAACCATGAGGAACTTGACGCCGCCGTGGACGATGCTGCGCTTGTCTCTCCTTCTTCTCGTGCTGCCAGTACTAGTAGTAGTAGCTACTACAACGACAACGACAACGACAACTACCAGTAGTTTATCGGATGATGATTTTCACAATTGGCTTTCCGTCCATTCGAAATCGTATTCCAACAATACTAGTAATTTGGACGAATGGAAGCATCGATTTTCCATTTTTCAAGAAAATGCTCGTTTGGTGCAACGCCACAATGACGCCTTTGCGAAGGGAGAGACCAGTTTCACAATGACCATCGACGGGCCCTTTGCCGATTTGACAGATCAGGAATTTACACAGCTGTATCTCATGGACTCGCAGGATTGTTCTGGTAAGACCTGAACTAAATGACAGGGAGGTTGGAGAATGTTTTTGGAGTCACAGTTACTCATTATTTCCCCAAATCCCAGCCACTCATAGGTCCTCGGGAAAGCTGCACACTGCTAGTATAGATAGTACTATAGATAGTGGTCCGTACGACATTGACTGGAGGACCAAGGGCATTCTGACGGCTGTCAAGAACCAGGGAGCTTGTGGATCTTGTTGGACTTTCTCCACTACTGGCTGCCTAGAAGCTCACACTTGCTTGGCTCAAAACAGAGATTGCACGCATTGGCTAGGATTGGCAGAACAGCAATTGGTAGATTGTGCACAAGACTTTAACAATCACGGATGCAATGGAGGATTGCCCAGTCAAGCATACGAATACATCAAGTACAATGGAGGAATTGATCTAGAAACTAGCTACCTATACGTGGCAAACAAGACGGACGGGACATGCAAAGCCAAAGACTTTACCATTGGAGCTCAAGTTGCTGGAGTCTACAACATTACATCAAGAGATGAAGATGATCTCATGCACGCCATTGCCACTCTGGTACGTATCATCATATATATATTATACATACATGTACTTCATTCATACATTCATTCATCTTCTCATTCATGCGTTCGATTCTATACCCTTGTAATGGAATGCAGGGCCCGGTATCGATTGCCTACCAGGTTTCTCCCGACTTTCGGCTCTACCAACACGGTGTCTACGACAGTTACAATGCCACCACCAAAAAAATAATGTGCAAATCCGATAATCATCATGTCAATCATGCCGTTGTGGCCGTAGGTATGGGACAAACGGCAAAAACAAAAGATCTACCCGTCACGCCATTTTATATTGTTCGAAATAGTTGGGGAACCAGTTGGGGCATGGAAGGTACGTGACGTGACGTGACGTGACCACACATACATGTATTGTGTGTGTGTGCCTCGCTTTCCTTTTTAAGTTTTGCGCTCGCCACCACTTACTTACTGACATGTACGGTACTCTACTTTTGCAAAAAGGACACTTTTGGATGAAACGCGGTGAGAATCTTTGCGGAGTCAGTGATTGTGCTTCCTTTCCCTTGGTGCCAAAGACAAAGCAAAAGGACGGACAGGATGCAGCGGGTGGAACCAGTGCGGAAACTACCACCAAAATAATTACAACAACCCACAATGCGGCGCTTCTCCGTGGCAGTTCGGAATGAACCGGGTTGGGTTGGGTTGGGTTGAGTTGACAATCTTGCAAAATGTTGCTGGTTACTATCTATCCCCCCTCTCTAGCTATTAGCTAGTAGCTGGCAATGTGCTGGTTGTTGGACGCACGAGAAAATCAATCAATGTTTCCATCATGCTGGTTCTTGCCAAAACGCCGCTCCTATCAATCAATCAATCAATCTCCTACGTTGTTTGGACACGCAACTTTATTTATTTATTCTTGCAATGCGGCTGTGTATTTGTTTTTCCAACGCAGCAACTGGCTAGCTGCCGTAGTTAGATGCTATCTACAGAATACCCTAGCCACTAGGACCATGCAGGTCTACCGTATCAACAGTACCGTATACAGCGTGCCCTCGCCTCAGAGCACTAGCTAGTCTCAACCATCAGAACGCCATTGCTTGCGCTGCCTGGCTCAATTCGCAATTCATAGCGCATCCAGCTGCACCGCTGCCTACCGGTAGCCACAGGTATGATACTGGTACAGTAGCAACCGGTAGAACTAACTGGTCGTGATGAGTGGATCTGTTCCAATCGTTCGTTCTTACATGGTGGTGGCATGCATGTCAGTCGATATCCGTGTACGTGGTAGGGATTACGCACGGTTGCTTTCGGTAAAGTGACCAAGGTGTGTTGTGTTTTTGTTGCAAGGCTGCTTTGAGAAGTTGTTGAACTTGCGATATCCCTTGTTACCGGCATCTATCGCATAGATGCTGTAGCAGTACGTAGCTATAGCGTGTCTGTATGCTTATGTATGTAGTGTAAGTTAGTTAGTAAGTAAGTCAGTATGAATCTATTGTCTATTATTGATTGTCTATTGTGTAGCTTTTGTCCGTGCGTTTTTGTTCCTTGTTTATGCGGACTTTGCAGTGAATGATTTGGGTCTGTTTTGTCTGTAGTTTTGCCGTCTGCTCCAAGACCTGATGGATGCTTGACTGCTGATACTGTCGGTGCTGCTTTGTTTGGTGGGTGTTTTCTTGGTAGGCATGATTTCAGAAGTTGAGCTGGTGGTAGTTGAGCTGCTGGTGCTGGATTCTTCATTGTGAATGGCCCTGGCATGTGCTTCATCGAGTGCAGCTTCTGCCAAAGCCCAATCTCTAGCCATCCAAGTACTTTGGGAAGCATACTCTTGGAGTTCCTGAGCCCATACATCTTGATACGCTCTTTTTCGTGCCTTGATTTGAGGGAATGCAGAAGCTGCCTTTCGAATGGCGTGCGACTTTTCCACAATTCCCCTCACATAGCGTTCTGCGTCATCCTTGCGGCGTTGGTTGTGTGCCAAGTGAAGTTCCAAGCCTCTGCCATTGCAGTCACTGTCAGTATTACTATGCATAGCACTGCCATTGGTAGTAGAAGAATGAACTTGGCGGTGCAAGTGCTCTTCCAAGTCTTTCAAGAAGTTGGCATGCAATTGCTTCTTGCCGTACCAACGGTTGGCCTGTTCCTCTTCGGCACTCGCTTGGGGATCATGCTGGTAGTACTCCACAGTCTGAGCCACTGTGGTTTTGCTGTTGAATCTCACGCGTCTCTTGCAGGTAGCATTGCGGCTACTAGTACTAGCACTAGCACTGGCACTAGCACTAGCACTAGCACCAGCAGTACTACCTAGACTGAAGGAGCTCATACTGCGGCGGCTGGCTTTGCATCTGCTTGACATTCGCATCTTGGCCTTGGAGAGAACCTTTCTAGGGTTTAGACTCTTCAAGACTTTGTTGGTGGTGGCGGCGTCCATAATACTAGTATTGGTTGTTTGCTTTTTTTACTTTAGTTGTTTGGTTTTATGAGAGGATTTGGTTTATTTTGTGAGCATCCAGAGCTCAAGCAATCTCTTCAAGATCTCACTGGTTAGTCTAGCTAGTACATGTAGCTTTCTTTCGGTTCCCATTTGGTCTGTGAGAGCTTCTGGGAGTGACATCCAAGAGCACACAGGAACGGCGTAGACCTCAATACCAGCTGCTTCCATTCCTCGTGGCACTGAAAAAGTGATCACGATCGTGCATACCGTACAGAGCTGCTGGTACTGTATTGCATACATGCATCCAGTTGGAGTTCTCTGGAATGCCCTCTTTACCCGGATGTGTCGGTGTGCCACATATTGGCCACAATGCTGCAATGCCCCGGACATTACTATGCAGGATGCAGGATAGCTCCAGGATTCCAAACCAGCATCATCTGCCTTTACAACGGTATGCTGACTCATTAGGTCGAGAGTTACATAAATGTACTCAGTCAGTTGAAATGTTAGTTGAAAGTTCTTCAAGGGGGATGGAGAAATACTTTGCTCATCATTGCAGACCAAGGTTTTTGGCGAGGCACCCATGGCTTACCACTGCCAAACGGATGTTTACCGCTATCTTTACCAATGTTTACTGCTCTCTTCGCAAATGTCAACCACTGTCTTCCTGTGGAGGGGCTGATCAGATTCAGCACGAACGGCACTGTATTTCTCCACCCCCCAGGTCCAATGAAACTGCGACTGACATTGTTATTGAACTTCGTGCTCCACCATGTCCTGCCTCATCAGCAAAACTCCTACATGTATAGTATAATAGAACCGGTGAAAACGTTCCAATTAACGTTGTCAGAAGGACCGGTGCTGCATTATTATTTATGCAATTAATAAGTAAGTGTCCCCACCTCAATCTGAGTCAATCATTCATACACGTCACGTCGCTCACGTGCACATGCACAACAGCCTCCAAGTCGCTCACAAAATCACGTAAAATGGTTGTTTGCACCTTGAATGAGCTAGCCAAAGAGTGACCTTTCAAAGATCGCAACAAACATCACATCCTTGGTGCTTTGGTGGACCACTTGGACCACTTACTTGTACTTCACGTACCGGTATGTAAACATCACTCAGATACAGACGTTGTTTCATCGGCCCGTGTTCCGTGGTCCTGCAGTTTGATGGCTCCACTGGCTCTTTCTTTACTGGTATTAGCAAACGCAGCTGTCGAGGATGATCGACAATGACAATATCATCAGTAGTACCAGTACCATTCGCGCACAGTCCCCACAAGCACCAAGTGTGTCGTTCATTTGAATGATCAATCGAATCGAATGATTCAATGATCAATACGGCATGAAATGGGTGACAAAGTCTTAGTGCGGTATGCCAGCATTGGCTCCCCATACGAGTACTGTAGACTACCCTTGCCGTGCCTTACGGCCCCCGATTATGTCAGTAGCCGCCGGTAGCTACCTGGACACTCCGTACAGCCATTTGCTTCCACAACGTGTGCATGTATGCATAAAAGTAGCCAGACGAATCAGGTTGGAACTTGGATTCTTACCGGTGGGCGGTACCTACTTGCACAAAACCTTCACTTCTCTATGGCCAAGCAACATAACTATTACATGTGTGTTGGCTTTGCTGCGTTCTTTATTCCTGTAATAGATAGGCTACGTTCACAACAGCGGCAAAGCCGAAAGCTAAGGTGCTCTTTCACCCCTCTAGGGTTCGTTCGGGGTGAGACGTGGATACTTTTACAGTACTGTACTGCTGCCTGGCTGCAGATCATTCGCGCTTGATGAACCATTGAGTTCTATGCCTCTGCTGGGGGTCCTTACAATTGCAAAGGTAAAGTCGGCCTCGGATGAAAGATCGTTCAACATTCGCACGCACATGTGCCGTTCTACCGGTATGTGGTGTAACTGGTGCTCATCGTAGCCCCACTGCGAGTGGTCGGCGGCTACAATGCATCGGGTCAGCAGACACGAAATCATACATAATCACGAGCGCGTTAAAAAAAACAACACACAATGCAGCTTTGGCTCTCTCTGGGGGTTATTATTCGCCCGCTTTAGCGTGTGGGGTCCTTGCACCTCGGCTCTACCGGTACCGGTGCTGTGCGTGCCGGTCAGTCAATTCTCTGGCGCAGATGTGTGAAGACCATCCCAATTTCATCCTGTAGACAACACCGTGCGTCAGCCAGCCGAATGTAAATGAGCGAGGCATCGAATGATCAATCAATCGGCTTCTTCAAGCTGGTATGGTACGACATTACGGGCAGACATCAAGGAAGACTTGAAAGCCCTGGCCGAAGATATGGACGCCACTCTCAAGCAATTCAATTCTGCCTATTTGCCGCGGCAGCCACCATGGGCAAGGTAACCGACGACGATGACGCAAGACTGCCTTCTTCGTCGGACGCAATGACAATGACGTATTCAATGGCTGGCTGCCAGGAGCAAAGAGCGTACCGGTACGTATAACGTATAGGCGGCGTCCTCAATGTCGTACCGGTACGAGCAGAGAGCTCTTTCCTCGAAGCCCACCGTTAGTCTACCGTACATCCGTCATCATCATCACGAGCCCACAATATTGCTTCGATTCGGGCGGTGACCCAACGATCGAGTTCTCTGCATGGCTGCTTGAGCATTGCAGCCCAGCTTGACCATCAGCAGAGGAGTTGTGGGGGGTTGAAAAGGCAGAGCCGATCGCTTAAGCAAGCGAGTGGGGTCCTTGCTATGCAACCATGTGAGGCGCAGAGCGAGTTGAGCGAAGACTTGAAATCTTGTGTATCGGTGCGTCAACTCGGCAGCATCGCTTCGTCTCTCAGGACTCAGGACACCACAGGAGACAAGCGTGGTGCAAAGTGTTCCAAAAGTACCGTACAAAAAATCCAGTTTCTTGCTGCCTCCACATCGAGGGTCAGTCTATAGAGTTGAGTCGAGTCAGAGTCGAGTCAGATCATGACGAGCCCATAAGATTCGAGTCGAGTCCTCAGTTCTGTGCATGGTTGAGATGACCTTGCAGCCACTAAAAGAAAGTCATGTACATGTACTACTACTAGCTAGCTAGTGCTTGATGGCTGCCGAGCCAGTTCCTGGCCAAGGCTGCTGGTACAAGGCAGCCACCGTACCGGCACCGCTGGGCCGGCTCTGGAAAGTGCTTCAGCAAGAACGAGCGAACAAGCAACAAGCAACCCACGGCTATGAACTACTAGTATGCGTACGGTAGGTTAGCATGCGTCCTGCCTTTGGCTGGGCAACCAGTTTGATTCCGGGCAGTTATTAGGCGTAGAGTTCGTTTCTGCCTAGCTAGCTAGTTGGTGGCTATCCTGAGGTGGTTCGTCATGTCATCATGACATTGTCATTGGCGCAGCGAGTGTATTGTGAGTTGAGAGTTATGACCACTGAGAAAGTCGGTTGATAGAATGATGTCCTGTGAGCGATTTTGGCTCAACGTCTCACTATAGAGTAGTACAGTTTCTTGATAGTCCCAATATTCTTTATCGATTGAAGCATTCCTAAGAACAACCTAGATCTTCAAGTATGTTAATCCATATTTTTCGCTAATGCCAGTTCACCCAACCAGTATGACTGCGAAGGTCGCACGAACCACTTGAACCCGAAGATTCTTTTCTCCCTCAACAAAAACAAAAATCAAAGTCTGTCATGCATAACACAGCAACAACGAGCAACAGAGCCAACAAACTCCTGA